ACCGCCCGCACCCCACGCCCGAGCGACCGGAACCCCGCGGGAGCAGGGCAGGGCAGGCTCTGCCTTCCAGTTAGGTTCTCCTTGCTCTTCTCCGCTTTCAGGTGCGTTGCTGTCCCTGTAGAGACCCTGTCGCTTCACCTCGGGCTGATGTGACTCTGGTGGAAGGGTCGGAACCCCGCGGGAGCAGGGCAGGGCAGGCTCTGCCTTCCAGTTAGGTTCTCCTTGCTCTTCTCCGCTTTCAGGTGCGTTGCTGTCCCTGTAGAGACCCTGTCGCTTCACCTCGGGCTGATGTGACTCTGGTGGAAGGATCATGACCGAAGTCCTCCTCTCTGCTGCTCTGAACGGAACTGAAGCCAACCTGTTGTCCAGCAGCGGCTGGTCTGCCGGAAACGCCACCACTAAGTGCTCCCTCACCAAAACTGGCTTCCAGTTCTATTACCTGCCCACCGTCTACATTCTGGTCTTCATCACCGGGTTTTTGGGCAACAGCGTGGCCATCTGGATGTTCGTCTTCCATATGAGGCCCTGGAGCGGCATCTCAGTTTACATGTTCAACTTGGCACTGGCCGATTTCTTGTACGTCTTGACTCTGCCCGCCCTCATCTTTTACTACTTCAACAAGACGGACTGGATCTTCGGAGACATCATGTGCAAGCTGCAGAGGTTCATCTTCCACGTCAACCTATACGGCAGTATCTTGTTTCTAACGTGCATAAGCGTGCACAGGTACACGGGAGTGGTGCACCCCTTGAAGTCGCTGGGGAGGCTGAAGAAGAAGAATGCCGTCTACATCAGCACCCTGGTCTGGGTCGTCGTGGTGGCCGTGATTTCTCCCATACTCTTCTACTCGGGAACGGGGATACGGAGAAATAAGACCACGACGTGCTACGACACGACAGCCGATGATTACCTGAGAAGTTACTTCGTTTACAGCATGTGCACCACGGTGCTGATGTTCTGCATCCCGTTCATTCTGATTCTTGGTTGCTATGGGCTCATTGTGAAAGCTTTGGTTTACAAAGATTTGGACAACTCTCCCCTCAGGAGAAAGTCGATTTACCTGGTTATTATTGTGTTAACGGTCTTTGCGGTGTCTTACCTTCCCTTCCACGTGATGAAGACCTTAAATCTGAGAGCCAGGCTGGATTTTCAGACTCCGCAAATGTGTGCCTTCAACGATAAGGTTTATGCCACTTACCAGGTGACGAGGGGTCTGGCCAGCCTCAACAGCTGCGTCGACCCTATCCTTTACTTTCTGGCTGGTGACACCTTTCGAAGGCGGCTTTCCAGGGCGACCAGGAAATCGTCCAGAAGAAGCGAACACAACGTGCAGTCCAAAAGCGAGGAAATGACTCTCAATATTTTATCTGAGTACAAACAGAACGGAGACACGAGTTTGTGAGCGGATGCAAAGGATTTGGGAACGGTCTGACGAAATCCTCCGCTTTGAGACAGTGGGACGCTGTAGTGCTGCAAGTGTGTGAGGAAAACCTTCCAGCCTCTCAGATTCCTTGTAGGTAAAGCCTCGTTTTCTGATCTTAGAAAAAGATTAACAAGGTCAGCAGAAGAATTTTAGTGGAAAATAACACGTCAATACTCAGCTTTCCTTCTCCTTGCAATACTCTCATTTCTTTCTGACTGGTGTCAGATAAAGTAAAATGAAGTAAATCCCCTAAAGGAAGAAAGCAATCCAAGCGCTTCTGTTTTAATGACTTAGTCTCCCACGTTCCAAAATGTTCTCAGTCAGCCTCTCTGTAGAAATAGGAGGTAAAAATGAGAAAGAGCAGGATCTTCTCCACCGAGGCTCAGTCCACACACTTAGCCTTTTGCTCACTTGCTGTTCTAAAACAGTATTTAAGTCAAAGTCATCACGCAGTTATCTCACCTTCACGGTTTTGTTATTGCTTCTAGTGTTGATAATTATTTGATAGTTCGGTAGCATTGATGGTTCGGTCTGCTCGGGTTGCCGGTGTTTTACAAAAGGCAGGCTTCCCGATGTGTGCGTGGTGATGCTCTCAGATTGTGGTGGTTGTTCGTGACAAATCCGGACCCCCTCAGAGGCAAACCGGCTTCCAGGAGAACGAAC